GCCGAACCTTGCTCAAACAAATCAATCATACAAAAGAAATAACCCTTTATCATGTCTTCTATATCTCCTATACTTATCGATCTCTATACTTCTTACCCTAGGACATAATTGAGTTTACGGGAATATTCTTCGAAGACATGTAATGTGCAGCTGAGAACTTACCGCTGTTGTACTGTGATCATTAGAAAAAGTATGGTGACGCACCGCAGTGGCTGCTAAAAAAATCTTTTGAATTTTATGACCGAGATTGTTTTGAACTACGGTTGCTCGTACTATTAAATGAGACTCGTTGAGGCTAACCGCATTGCCCTTACAAACAGTGATATTCTTCTCAGATTTCCACAACTTTATAATTTCTTTGCAAAGATGTCTGTCTCTATGGACATCTCTGCTTACTTCTAAAACAGACAAGCGAAGCACAAACCTGAGTGAATATTTTTTAATCTGTATTTGCTGTGTTCCGATCACTGTACATGTAAAATATTATTTTTTCACAGAATACTCGAATTTATCATAGACTACTTATCGATTATTCAATGCATGTATGGATGCATCTCTTATTTCAATTGAGAAATAGTCTATTATCGAGACATTTTTAGGTAGAAAACAAAATAATCTTCGAATGAAGACATAGATTCTGATTAGTAATTATAAATTAGTTTTTAATAGAATATCAACAAAATAATTAAACACACATTTTGATTTCGCTCATTGTAACTATAATTAATGAGAATTGGAACGACAAATGGATTATTAAAAATTAAACCTTAATCATATGAAGAGCATTAAGATGAACTGAATGTCGAAAAAGGATTGCTTTTTTAGAAAACTAATGTGATGTTTTACTCCAGAATGATGTTTTTTCAAAGAAAGTGTTAATGCCTTTATTAATACAAATTAAATGATTCATTTATAGCAAAAAATTCAAAAACGAAAGGCGCTTGAAATTCGTTCTCTTATAAAAATATCTTTTAGAGAGTGTCTATTGTAATACAGAGTTTTCATTTTA